GAAGAATGCCGAGGATGTGAGGAGATAAAATGCATATTTCTTGGTATAGGAAGGGGGTCTAGACCCAGGGTTGAAGTTAATAGACACATCAGGGGACTTGCAAGGGTATTTAGGGCTTGGTGTCCTTTAAGAAGTTTCTTTCAAGGAACTGGGAAGTTCTACCTTTCTCCTCTATTTCTACAGAGGGTCCTGGCAGAGTTGACCATCTGCTCTCTGATTTGGACTAAATTCAGCAGAGGAGTTTGGCTCTGGGAGGGAGTAGATTTGAAGAGTTTTGGTTCTGGGTTTGTTTTCTTTGTTTGGGGCATTTGGCTTTTTTTGGTATTGACAAAAAATCTTTTTGCTTTCACTTCACTCTTTGTTATTTTCCTTTGTGAGCTGAGATCACTCAGGTATGGGGTCTGAGGTGGATTTAGCCCTGAGGCTTTAAACTTTGTGGGTGGTAGTGGGAGAGCAGAACTGACATCTTTGTGTATGCAAGTGAAAATTGGACAGACAGATACTAGAGAGTGAGACTGCCCCATGTAGTAACCTTCACAGCAGGGAAAACACATATTTTAAAGACACAAGATACTTCTTTCTTTTAAATCAGCCTAATGTCACTTGGTGTCTGAACTGACTGCTTCTGCTGGTTGGAACCTCTGTTTTGTTTTTCTGTGGGGCAGTCTTGTAACAGCTTTCCGAAAGTTGGGGAAGAGCCTTGACTGCTGTGGATCAGGATTTCACATCCTGCAAGGTGCTAGTCTTGCACGTGCCAGGTCTGTCCCTTAGCTCACAGGGCCCGCAGGGATGGAGAGCCTTGGCCTATGGGTAGAAGTGATAAGAACTTTAGTGGTGATGTTGTTTCTCTCCTGTGCAAACCAATGTATTTCTACGCACTGGTGTTGAGATGTGTCCTCACAGCTTCAGGGGGGGAAAAAAAAGGCCCCCACAACCTTTAGAATGATGCTGATATATGGGTGTTCTGCCCTGCTTCATCTCTCCTCCCTTGCACAGTAGAACTGTTTGGGCTTTTGCAGTAAACCACTGTAAAAAAATAACATTTTGTTCACAAAGCAAGTTTTAAGCTGGATTGGTTCTCTCCTATGTTTTAGTGTATAGTCTGTGGAGTAGGGGTATATTCTAGAGGTGAGAGAAGAGAAAGGGGTGGGAACTGCTGTGGAAAAAGCAACATGATACTGTGCCTGGTTGGGGCTGCACTTTTCTGTTTGGGTAGAAGCAGTGGGGAGTTTGCATCCCATGTGAATTCTGACAGTGAAACAAAACTTAGGGGGTGCTGTTTGTAGTAGATGGTCTTTCTCTTGGGGATGGAGAAAGTGTCTGTGATTCCTCACAGACTTGGGACAAATGGGAAAGCTGGCAGTGGGAAAGTGATTAGTGTTTGCTCCCACAACAGCTGTGATAGGAACTAATGGCAGTAGCAGAGACTTTACAAATATCTGGTGGGTAGCCTAGATGAAAGTGCAGGATTACCTGAAATGTCAGGTCATCTTGTCTGCCAGTGTACAGCTTCCCTAAACACAGGTTGTACTGGTTTAACTGCAGTTGCTTAAACAAGCAAACCCCATTGATCTTAAATTGATCTGTTCCCCTAAAAAAAGACTAACACTTGCCCATTGTACATGGCTATTTTTATATGAAATATATAACAGATTAAATTGAATTATCTTTTTAGCTTTGTCAGTGAAGTGCAGAGTGTTAGTATTCACCCTGGTATTCTTTGTCCTGAAGCAGGGGTAAGGGGAAAGAATTCCCCAGTGATGGTGAGCCTTGCAACTGTGCTTGGAATGGTGCAGGAAAGGGATTTAACAGCCACTCTGCTTCAGAGCAATAGCCATGAGAGCAGAAGGTGGGCCTTAGAGCAATCATTTCAATGTGCTTCCAAATTCTGAGCAAGCTCTTAAGTTTTTCCTTGGTACATCGTGAAGGAAGAGTGCTTATGCTGTGTGTATTTATGATGGGGTTGACACTGGACTTGGAAGAATGCCTGTCATGTCTGCCTTGTGCATGAGGGACAGTACATGTGGGGCTGTGGGCTTGAGAAGGGGTGTTAGGGAGGAGGTGGTGCTAGAAAGCGAAGGAGCTGGGTGACCAGGATCTCGGATGTTAGGGAGGGAATCTCAGCCTCTGTGGATGTTTAAGGAACATGCCCACCCTCCAACCTTCTATGTGTGTTGGCCTTTAGGCGCTTCTGTCCTTTGCAGAGAAGCATGAGTTTTGACCTAACTGTTCTGTATGCTTTGCACTGGCCTCTACATCTGTCAAGGAACGAGGCCTGAGGGTGGATAGGTGTGGGCTTGAGTGGAGAGAAAGCAGGGGATAATATTTTGGGAATACTGGAGGTGCTGCTTCATACCCATTCGCAAGTGCAGCAAAACTTGGCTGGTTGTTGGTACCAAGGGGCTGGAGGGAGGCAGAGAGAAAGAAGCTGGGCTGTGGGAACTGGGCAGAAAGGGGTCTTGAGGGTGGCACGAAGGCTCCTGTTCTGGGTATGAGGCCCAGGGAGGGGATGTGTGACTGGAAGGAGGCAGCTCCTAACCCAAGGCATTTTCTTTGCAAGGGGATGTCCTGGGTGCATGTGGGGGAGCTGTGATGGGATATGAGGAACAGATTTCACCAACCCCGTGGGTGCCATGAGGTCCTGCAGTTCCCGTGCTGGTTGTCACCTCCCAGGGCTGGCTGCAGGTCACAGCCAGGAAGGCTGTGGCGCTCCCTCTGCAATACCTCAAAGCGTACCTTGGGGTTTTAACCGTGGGAGGTGAAGCTTCACCCGTCTTGCTGTGGGTGAGCTGTGTTAGCGGTGCTCTGCTCCTGACAGGGACAGCCCGGCTGGGATGTGTGCCTGACTCTCAGAGAGGAGAGGAGGTTCACCCTGTGAAACTAGGAGAAAACTTTTTCCTTTTCCTGAGTTAGGTGGGTTTCCCAGTTCAGCAAGTGAAACTCTGGTAAAGCCTGGCTGACAAAAGGGGAAGTTTAAGGTTGCCTCTCTACATTCCTGACTGAGACTTGAAATAAGAGAGAAAGTAAAATTTAATGCCCAGTGTTTCAGGACTTGTAATTTTAATTTCAGGCACCCTTTGTGTTCTGTGTACAGACCTGATGTCCACCTCCCATCTCTTGCCACCAGAGGCTCTTGTCTCACTCCTTTTTTTGCCTAGTGTAGAAAATAATGAACATGCACAGCCTGCAAAATATCTTGTATGTGCAGTTGCTAACTTTATTTAAAAAAAACCAACAAACTGTGTGAAAGATAATCATGGTGTTTGACATGAAAAAACCTGTTAGTTCAGTGTAAATATGTTACTGACAGCTGGTTGTTTTTAGTACATGCTATTTGTGCTTTAAATTTAATGTTAAAATATTATCGTCATCTAAACCGTGACTGTTCTTAGTTGAGCAGATTTCAGGTTAAAAACAGTAGTCAAGCCACGACTGTTTGTAGCACTGTAATGTAATTTTGTGTTACTAGGTCTTTTCTGACCTGTTTTAATGCATTATGAAGTGGTGGTTATATGCCTAATTGCACAGCGCAGAGAAAATTGTGTTGAAATATTGCATAAAACTTGAGCGTTATGTGATGTTTTGTAGTGGAAGTATTACTGTAGGCAGTCATTCATAACAAGACCTGCAAGTTTCTCCCTGCCAGGGCGGGTGGTTGAGCTGGCTATGCTGACTCAACAGAGCGAGTTTCTTTCTCTTCTCATCCTCTTCTTCCTCCTCCTCCTCTTTTTGACTTCTTGTGACCAAATATCAGCAGATTCACAAGAGCTCATTTGTGAAACATGCCTTAGTTTGAGGTTGCTTTTTTGAAACTGTACAGCTGTGGATCTTCACTTGAGACTTTCAGAGCTCTCGTGTCAGCCAGGTGTTAAGCTGGTTAAAATCTGACTTGCTTTCTGAGCATGGGTGTGTGTACGCAGTGTGGGTGTGAGTGCACACAGGTTCCTCTGGAGTAGTTGAGAAGAGGACCTGATCCTGACCAGAGGGGGGACTGAGTGTTGCCTTGATGGGCATTCCTGACTATGGGGGATGGAGGCGTAGGAGGGCTGCTGGGGTAGGGCAGGAGGTGCTCAGAAGTGAAATCTGAGAGGTTTGTGCATGTGTGTACCCTGAAGTGTTCATGCAGTTTTGGTCATCACATTATAAGAAAGATATAAAGTTATTAGAGAGTGTCCAAAGGAGGGCAGTGAAGATGGTGAAGGGCCTTGAGGGGAAGCCATATGAGGGGAGGGGCTGAGGTCACTTGGTCTGTTCAGCGTGGAGGAGGCTGAGGGGAGACTTCATTGCAGTTACAACTTCCTCATCAGGGGAAGAGGAGGGGCAGGCACTGATCTCTTCTCTGTGGTGACCAGTGACAGCACCTCAGGGAATGGCCTGAAGTTGTGTCAGGGGAGGTTGAGGTTGGATCTAAGAGGTTCTTTACCCAGAGGGTGATTGGGCACTGGAACAGGCTCCTCAGGGAAGTGGCCACAGCACCAAGCCTGGCAGAGTTCAAGAAGTGTTTGGACAATACTCTTGAGTGCATAGTGTGACTTGAGGGTGGTCCTGTGCAGGGCCTCAATGATCCTTGTGGGTCCCTTTCCTACTCGGCATATTCTGTGATTCTGTAGCTGCACAGTGTAGCCTCATGATGTCCAGGGCTTGGAGCCTGCTGCCTGAGCCTAGCTCCTCCCTTTTTCATTTAACAATGGCTGGAAGAAAAATAATCAAGTATGCTGGAAGAGAAACATTAATTAACTTTTAATTTAGATCTAACGTATGCTGCTTAGTGCACTGCAGGAAAGAGTGAGTGTGCGGTATCTGCCATGTTTTATAGAGGGTGATGCATTGAAGAAACAAGGAAAAGCCTCAGGTCTGAATGGGAAGATGAGGTTTTAACTCTGTGGATGGGTTTTGTATCTTGATTAAAAGCTGCAGATGTGTGATAAGTTGCTTTTGTATCCATTTTGCATCTGAAATTACTTTCTCTGTAACTTGGTTTGTATCTGTTTTCTCTTAAGCCAAACTTGCAAGGAGAAGTCAGGAGAGAGAGAATCTCGGCATGCTGGTCTGGTCACCTAACCAGAATCTGTCTGAAGCAAAATGTAAGTCTCTTCAAATAATTTTATTCCCCTTTTTCCTTACATGTATCACTTTAAGAATGCAAAGTCGCCACTTCTGGTAGAGAGGTCATGTCTGTGACCTTTCCATTATGATTAGAAATTAATTGAAAAAAAGAAAAGCCAACAAAGAAATTCCCCAGATCATCTTTCTTCCCCACTGGGCAGCTGCTCAGAGCATCAAATCCACAGAGGTAGGGAAATCAAGAGAAATGTGACATGCCTTCTTCCCTGGTATGAATTCTTTAAGGTACTTATCCGTGGGCCTGCAGGATCTGCTTTTTTTGCTGTTGGTGCTGTAGAAGGCAACAGAAATAGCTGGGGATAGCAAAATGAAAAGTATTGAGAGGGAGGCATGAAACATTTGGTAATTAGTAGTACCTTTTTCTCCACAAGGACACAAATAAAATCCACATCTGGAGCCCATGGAGGTTTTAAATGCCAGAACAATTGCAGTGCCTTGGAATTCCACGTGAGGGCAATTAACAGTACTCTGTGTGTGTCTGGGAACAAGTCTCAGTGCTGCTGCCAGATGGCAGAACTAGTGTTTGAAAGGTTTGTCTAGCTACAGTTCTCCTCATGAATAAGTAGGACTCCTTGATTAAAGGGCTGCTGTTTGAATGCAGTAACTAAACCTAAGTGCTTTTGGGGGAGGGAGCTGAAAAGAGCTATTTTTAACTTTAGGCTCATACCTTTTTTTTTTCTTTAATCTTTTCTGATTCTGGGACCAAGATTGAGAATCTTGCATTCCTGTTCCTCTGCAGTTTTTGTGGTGGCATTATTAACTTGATACCTGTTCTTCCCCTAGACCCAAGGGCTAGGATGCATCATAAGGCACTTGTGAGGCTGTAGTGGCATTTGCAAATTAAGGCAGCAGAGATTGTGCACAAACTGGCTCTGCCATGAAGGGCCTGTGCTCTGCCCTGGGGCATTTGTTCCACTGAGCAAGTTGCCCCTTAAATTACATAAGGATGATGGTACTGTGATCTACAGATAAAAAGGGCTTTGCAAGGATCATGTCTGCCTTCTCTCCTACCAGTAGTGTCTTGTCCGCTCCCTGCTGGCTGTTGCATGCTGAACTTAATAAGACTGATGAGGAGAGGAATATGTTTGACAGTTATCTATAGCTAGAAACCTCTTAAAAGGTATAAGAGCAAGAAGTTATTTCTGCCACCAAAAGGAATGACTGTTCATGGGCTGTCTGTGACACAGAGAGTTCCTGTAGATGCCTCTCAAATCTGAGTGTCTTTTGAATCTCAGCTCAGCTTTGTGGAACATTTAACTCCTGCCTGGTAGGAAACAGGTTTCTTGAAGAGGAAAGGGAGGGAAGATATGTGGAATTGAGTAAAATTATCTATAACTGAGAATTTTGTAGCAATTGGCAAAAATATGCTCATATTATAGAGCATAGAAAGGATATAATATCTGCTTAGAGGTCATGAACCTAGGAGGTAATTTAAGAAGTCGTATGAATAAAAACTAGGTGGCAGTTGATGTTGGTACAACAAAAAAGTTGGGGAAAACAATATGAATATGAGAAGGCAAGAAGAAATTTCTCAAAATACTCAAAATTTCAGTAAGAGTGTAGGGTCTCAGTTATTTCACCTTCCAAAACAGATACAGAAAAAAAAGAATAAATATTTTATGGGGAATTTGAGGAAGTAAAGTGTGAGGGTGTTGCACCATACATGACATACAAAATACCTCCCAGGTGCCTGATTGATACAGAGTGGATGGAGTTGTGAAATTAAGCACCTAGTAGTAGTAAAAAACCCAAGGGAATATTGGGAGAGGTGGCTGAGAGGTCCTTGGGGTGGTAGGAAGTCTCCAGCAGATGGGGAAAGGGCAGCTGTACAGGGAATGAGAGAACAGGGTCTTTGCTTTGTCTTGAGTCAATTTGAGCTGATCCTGCTGAAAGATATGAGTTATTCCTGTCTCTGTCTGGCATTACTTAAAAATGAACTATGAAAACCAAATTCTGCTGAAGGTAGATGCTTTTGGTTTTTTGAGACTAGAAATGGATTGATTGGTAGAAATAAGTTTATTGCTCTAATGTATTCAAGCCAGCTGTTAGGCACTGATTGCATGAGAGCCTGATTCAGTCCCCCTTCCTTTCTAAAGATGAGAACCTCCTCCAAAACACCAGTGCTCTGCAATGGCTGTAGAGCACTTACTAAATATATTACATGCAGAGTTCCCTAATCTTCTTTATGGTTTATGATGAAAGAACATCAGGGGACAGGAGGTCTCTTCAGCGACTCTTGAATTCACTGACAAGTCTTGGCATCGTTGATAGTGAATCCTAATTAAATGGGGTCCGTGGGGATGTGTGAGAGGACTGGTGATGATCAACATTTCCATCAGTGATGTGGGAATTGATATGAAATTGTTGATGACCCAGAGACTGACAGTGGTAAATAAAATTAATGCTACCAACAGTCTTGTGGAGTGCTTTGGGTCTTTTCCTAACTTGGATTGCTGCCAATGCAGTTGGGCTCTTAATGACCCAACTGCAGGGTTATGAATCTCAGTCCTGAAAGCTCTGGCCTTCTATATCAAGTCTGATGTTTGGAAAGAAATGGCTTATAGAGCAATATTAGGAAAACAGTGGGCAGGTAATTCAGCAAAGGTTCATGGTGTCCTGCTTGACCCAGGGGATGGTGTGGATGTAAAGAGTGAGGTAGTCACTGGTACAGTTTGCTGCGTCTGTACCCAGCAGCGTTCAGGAAAATGAACCTCGAAATAGTGGCTTAAGTTTAAAAACTGAGAAAAAGATGGAGACACGAGCTACTGAAACATTTTGGAAACGGAAAATGAAGCCAAATCCATCTGTTTAGCTTACTGAAAAGAGGCTGAAAGGGGACTATTCTCAATTATTCTCTTAGAGGAAAAATTTGACATAGTAAGAGATGCATAATACAAATAGATGGCTGCGAAATAAGTCCACATGGACTGAAATGAAATGCCTGAGTTTGGGTTTTTTTGATGTTTGGTTTTTTTTTGTGATTGACTACTGGAAGTTATTCAGGGAAATGATGGATTCTCTATTTCTTGATGCCTTTTTAAACCATGGATTTTTGTGACATGGTGCAGTAGATCATTCACTGGCAGTGTGAAATTGCAGGTGGAAGGAGATGTGGTCTCCAGGAGGTTGGTGTAGCCCCTTGGGCTGTAAGTACTGTTAGTCCCATCTAGCACGTCCATTCTTAATACCACTGTTCAGGCTGAAGTGTGGGTGGGCAAATCCTTCCAGTCAGCAGCCTGTTGGTACCTGTGATTACTTCGGTTTGTACTCCAAAGTCTTTAGTCCATCCTGTGCCTGTAAGACACAGGGCTCTTCTCTTTTCCTGTGGCTCGCTGTGAAGATGGAAGTTAGTGCAGCACGTATTAGCTCTTCCTTAGAGTGAACAGGTAGCTCTTGTGAGTGGGAGAGTTCAATGCAATCAGTGCAGCTGTGGAAGCCACCTCTGTTAAAGGTGCTAAAAACCACTGAGCAGATTCTGTGACCATGCTCAGAGCAGTGCACCTGATGGGTTTGGCAGAGGGCTGGCCAAACTGATGGAGGCTGTGGGAGGGTCTGTGTAAGCTGCTGAAAGGAACCGTAGAAAGACCAGTGTGTCAGCCAAGACCTGGTGGATATCTGCATACCTGATGCTCCAGACTCACACAGTTAAGAGCTTGTTTGGGTCCCATGAAGCAGTGTTTTAATCACACTGGAGAAACCTTTTGCCTGGATGCCATGAAATGATGGATGTAAAAGAGAAGATGAAAACAAAAGTATGTGTTGGCACATTGCTCATTTATTTTATCCTGTTCCTTGTTAACCATTAATCCTGGACACAAACCACTTATTGCCTTGCCCATAATAATACCAAAGTTGAATGCTGCCAGCATGGTCCATATCTACTGACAGACTTCTGCCTTTGAGGGGTCAATTGCACAGCAGTCACCATTAGTTAGTAGGTCGCAGAGTTAGCCCAAAGCTAGAATTTTGTCCTGTATCTTTTGAAGAAGAAAGAAAGAAATGTCATTGTGCAGTAACTGAACATTTGGACTTAAAATAACTGTGCTCCCCTTCCAACTCTGCTCCAAATACCCTGTGGCTGGTGTCACACCTCTTACAAAGAGCTTGCTCTCAAAGTGAGGCTCCTGAGAGGCTGTCTGTGGACTTAGTGCCACAGAGGGCAACTGTTCTGGCTGTTGTGGGACTCTGTCACAGAGGGTGAGGAAGGAGACAGGGAGAGGGGAGGAAGAATGATGCCTTGAGCAAGGTGACATTGAAGAGCAGGAACAGCTAGATGGAAGACAGGCATCTGCTCTCTTTGAGTGGCACGTGGGGAAGGAGGAGGGGAGATAGTGAAAAATGCATTGTAATGATGCTGTGGAAACTCTGCACAGGATAGAGCTGGGCCAGCAGGAAGCTATTAATAAAACAGCAGTGTCTTTCTCCGTGCCAAGTGCACCAGTGAGTGGAACCATAAAGATGACTTTGGGTTGGTTTAGAAATGAGCAAGTGCTGGCATGGTGCAGCTGCCCAGGAGCAAGGGATAGACACCAGGTGAGAGGGTAGGATGTGATGATTGCTTTTATAGACCTGCAGTTCAAAGGTGAACTACAAGAGGGAAAGATGTATTGTTTTACCAGCAATAAGCTCTGCTTTAAAATTATTTTTTCTGCTCTCTTCCTGACAGAATACGTGTGCTGCTAGATGGGAGTTCTGTTTTCTCATTTGATGTCTTGGTGGATGTCTGCAGTGGATTTGCAGTTTATGGGTGTCACTGAACAGGCAGGCACTGTCCCTAATGCCCATGGGACAGTGGGGTTGTAGAGGGCAGCTGGGTCTTCTGGTCTTGCAGTGCTGCTTCTGCTTGACCTGCTAGTTGATTGGCACTGCCAGCTTTGGACATTCACCAGTCCCTGTCTCCATTACTCTGTGGCACCTCTTCTTTTGAGGCTGCAGCTGGCTCCCTGATTTACATTATGCC